CCACTCTGAGTTCTTGAGCAAAACCCTTAACCCCACACCGCTCTACGGGCGCCACACAACCGCATCCCAAGGGGATGGGTCAAATGCAGAGGTGAAGGTCTCCATTGTGGGACAATAAAGGGATTTACATATCAGATCATGAACCAAATTGTAGCCACAGTCTAATGTATTGATGTGATTTAATTAATTAATCTAATTACAAACTGGAAACCAGGTAAAAGAGCAAAAGTTGAAAATTGCTGCTCACATTCAATATGCTGTCCATTAAATACAACTGACCTCGAGTTTTTTGAAGTATTTATAATTTTATCTTTGGTTTGTGTAACTTTTCTGTACTGTTTTAACTTAATAATAATTTGATTTATTGTTTTATTTTGTTCTACAAAACCAAATTACTAGGGATGAACGACATAATCGGCCCCCTATCGGTACCGGCCTATATCGGCCTTAAAACTGAATATCGGACATCGGCCACCCTACCGATATTTAACCCGATATTTGATCAGCTTCTGAGTTTCTAAAGTCAAAAAAAAAAAAAAAAATACTACTTCTTCTTCTTCCTCAAAAACTTCTTTTTTACAGACTTAAAAACTTCTAAAGACGAGGGAAAAAATGTTGATACATTAAAATATCACAATATCTTAATATGCTGATATGTTGCCATTTAAAAACACCATATCAATCTCTTTTACTAATGAAATATTGCTATATGTCATTGTTATGCTAGGAAATCGCCCGAAAATTCACGAAATTTTGCCATATTTTTAGATGTTGATATATTTTACTAACAAAATCTCACAAGAATTTGCAAAATATCACGAGAGTTTGTAACAGAACAATGAAATTTCACGAGATTTTGAAAGTAAAACAGATCGATATCGCGTTTTTAAAAATCAATTTGATATCAGCATATGAAAATATATTTGAGTATATTATTTTTTTAAAGTGTCAGAAATGGTTAACAAAACTGCTATTTTCAATGACTACTTATTTTTGTCCAGCTTTAACATCGGTATCGATATCGGTTATCGGCTACATGAGTTTTAAAATATCGGCATATCGGATATCGGCCAAAATCCCAATATCGTGCATCCCTACAAATTACTGTAGAATTTGAAACATTTACAGAAAAGTTACAGTGTTTGGGGGGGAAATTTCCATTTTAAAATAAATAAAAGACATATATTCTTTAATGGAAATGGACAAAGATTTTACGGTGTGCATGTGCAAGGCTTCAAGATTCAAGATTGCATAATGTTGCAGCTATATTTGAAGTGAAAAAAAAAAATGATTCATGTGCTACTTTGCTTTGGTTTATTACATGTGACTCACATAAAAAAAGACATTGAAGTTTGTGGGTTTACTGCAACAAAATGTGAAAACGTTAATAGGATAAGAAAACATTTGCAATGTGTTGTATAAAGGAGGAATTTAAAATGAGAAAACATAAGGATCTGAATGACTTCCTGGGATTTTTACTTGCGGGTCAAAGTGTAAACTAAATGTGTTGCTGGCGTTTCCCGACAGGCCGTGATTACGGCTAAGGTCACAGATGCAGGAACCTTAATGATCCACAAAGGGAGTAAAGCCTGACCTATGTGGTTCAATTTGAGGTAAAATGTACTGCTGGAAACTTTAATACTAGTTATTGGAGACACCTAAGGGAAGACATGGACTGATTCTCATTCGTGGCACAGAGTAGTTATCCCTTGTCTGGATGTAAGTGTGTTTCAAGCAAGTAATGGGATCGCAAGAATCAGACCATGACCTGATGGACGAGGGTGGCTTGGACTGATGAATCATGTAGATAAACCGGAGCATTCCTGGCACTTATCTAAGGAGAAGATGGAGGAATTATACAAGGGAGGTAAACAAGTGAGCAACCCTGCAGAGGTCATATGATACTTTTTGTTGATTCTCTGCCAAGAACCATGAAACATCTATGGATGCAGTTCATGAAGATGTGGCTGAGGTCATCAGCAGAACATTTTGCCAATGTTAGATAGAAATTGATATTTTTGTATTATTTATAATTTTTTATTTTGGATAATAATTAGTTCAGGAAAATGCAGACCCCTGGGTCTATCTTTCTGAAATAACCCCAAAACATCAGCTAACCAAGAAATGGAGCATGTTTATTTTTTATCCTTGGCCAAAAAGGACAAAAATCACTACATGGAAACTCTCCGGTTCTAATTCATTAGCGAGGGACACTTTATTACAGTCTGTTGGCTCAGTGTGTTATTCTTTATTGAATATACGAGCAGTCGTTTTGTTTTTAAAACCTTTTTATGGATCTGTTATGTCCTACTGACAGAGAATATTGACCAGCTGTTTTATGGTAATTTTCCCGTTTGCGCTAGTTATCAATATTTCTACAAAAATATGTGATAAACATGAGTTGTAAAGTTTCAAATAATCTTATCAAGTTTACTTTCAGCCTAACACTTTCAGCTGCCAGACACAGCAAAAATGTCTCCCTTTATTTATTACCATAAACAGTAACATCAAAGGCAAGATATTCGTCCTCATGTCTCTTCTTTTCTTTTCATGTTTTTATGTCGTGTCCCGTTAATGGATTCACAACATTTATAGGCAAACAAATAGACACCTGAGAGTGATAGTAAAGATATATAGTAAAAACTCTTGATGAGAACAACTTTGCTCTTAGCAATATTGCAGCACACTATAAGTTTTAGCCAAAGTTTTATTTGTGATCTCAAAACTTTTGCAGATAGTCTTTTATGCAAAACAAGGTCGTTCGATGAGCCTACTTCAGTAATTAGCTTCTGCTTCACATTTAAGGATATATAGGTTGAACAATGACGCAGAGTATTCACGGAATGGCTCTTTTAACCTTCTACATTGGCTTTTAATCGATTCTGAATTATTTAAGGACCAGGTGTTGGTTTTGAACACAGTATAATAACCAATGTCATTTTTAGAAGTTTTTTCAAAGTATATTGATTTTCCACAGCAGAATGCGATTAAAAAATTACATTTGTCCATTATTAGCTTAGAAACCATATGTTTTATTTTAGATAGTTTCAACAAATATCAACATTTAGTCCATGCAGGAGTTATATGTTTTTCTTTATTCTAAAACCTGAAATGGAAAATGGAAAGAAAAAAACTATTTCAGATACTTAACAAAAGAATACTTGGTTATCTTTTATCAAAAGTTTATGAGATGTTTGCATCTCTAATCGACTTTGTTAAAGATTCGCTGGATTTTAAAGGTTGCAGACCCCTGATTTAACTGATTTGAGGTCTATGGGGTGATTCTTGTCAGAGAATGGGCTTCTGGAGTCAACAAATCATTTCTATGTCATGTTTTTGTTCTACCCAGCCTCTGAACCAGGTGATTCCAATCTGGTTTATCTATGTAGATTGAACTCACCAGGTTCAGTGGCTAGGTAGAACAAAAACATGACAGAAATAACTTGTTGACTCCAGATCGCCTATCTCTGTTTTTTGTGCCACCAGCCTGAGTGCAAAATTACCAGTTAGAGCATGCATTGAGACCGAGTGTAGAGACGAAACCGAGTGCACGCAGAAAAGGAGGGAAGCAGGGGCAAAAATGGGAGAGCAGTTTGTTAGATTTGAGGGTGCACAAGACACGTTTTGAGGCACGCTGCACGTCGATCAGGTTGGTGGCACAAAAGATATGCCATAAAAATCCAATCAGGGTGCTTAGCACACATCCATGAAGAGCGCTCAGACGATTGACCCTGACTGTTAAGTCTGCAATAGTTCTTGGTTACCAGCTGTCTGGTGCAAAGGGATGTTTTTAGCCAAAATGGTCATTTTCCCCATTAAAATGGTGATACAAACTGAGACCATTGAAAGAAGTTTGTCAAGGAGCCACATTTATTAGAATATTATCCATATATGATGCTAAAATAAGTAGAAGAAAGGATTTTATACTTCCAAATAATCCTTTTAAATGTACTTCACTACTGTGGAGAGTCATTTCCTGAAGCAGGATGAAGAATTGCTTCTCTGTCATAGGTATGGTAATGATGATTTTAAAAGTGCTGTCTTGCAGTTTGCTGAGTAATTCCTTGATGCAGACTAAGGCGAAAAACTGGATGTGAAGTGAGACAGTGAAAGCAGCAGATAATGGAGTACTAGGTCTAAATATAAAGGCAGCAGGATTCCATGCACTATGTGCCTTTACCTCAAAAAGAAAAAGAAAAGCTTTGATATACTAATATTCAAAACCTTGGAAAATCTCTTTATCATACTGTGTCAGTCTTTTGCAGACTATCAAACTATAGCAAAGCTGCCAGGTGACCTTACTGTTGACCATGCTTCTAGAAACTCTATTTCACTAAAGTTGCTTCTAATATTATCCATTTAAAAAGTTGGCGTCCATGTAAAATGCAAATTTCAGACACAATAAGTCACCTCTTTCATCCCAATAACTTAAAGGTAAAAGACAGAAATGTAAGCTGTCAGGCTTTCAACAAATCTCCATGGCACAACAAATTGGAATCGATGAAAGCTGACAGTGAAATTCAATTACTTTTGCTGATTGCTAAAAACAGATTTAATGGCTATCAGCAGGCGTGTACGTGTGAGCTGTTTGTTTCTGGCAGCGGCGGAAAATAAAAAGGATGCCTTTTATGCTTCCTAATAAGCTTGTGATAAAAATCAGTGCTCCTTTAGTCGCCACACACAGACCATTGAATGTTATATTGTTACTTCAAACAAATGAAAAGCTAATTATAAAATCTGAATCATGACCAGACTAGACAAAGGCACAGCTTGCCTTGCAGGTGCAACCAGAGTTTTAGTTTAAAAAACAAAAGCTTTATTTTTTTTTCCCCCTGGTTTTTCTTCAGTCTATTTTTTTCTCTTCTTTTTTTATAGAGTCATAAAAATTTTTCAAAATCCTCTTTGTGTTAAGTTTTCTCAAGATTCCGACATTTTTCTTAGCATTTAACTTAATACATTCAGGTTTAAGCACTTGTATTTATATAGTCTTTATTTCTCACCTGGTGATCTGAAGGTCCAGGCCTCATCATCGTCAAAGTGTGTATCGCCTGCGGTGAACCTCTCCCCAGGAAAAAAAGCATGCGCCACTGTGCCCCCAGGCCCATCGAAGGGGTATCCATCATTATGGTCGGCTTTAGTGAAGTCTATCTGAATGTCTGCATCGCTGCCGGCCACCTCATGGAAGTTCAGAGGTGCGATATCACTCCAGACCTTCAGGGCGTAGTACATGAGGGCCCGAACTGTGTCCCTGCCCAGTAAGGCTGAATCCTTGGGGAAGGTTCTCACTCTAAGAAAGAAAATAGGAGGTCATATAATGATAAGAGATGGGATGAGTTCATCATTATTAACAGTTTGAAACACACACATAGTGACCTTGCAATTTGTTTCTGTTGTGTGGGTAAATAAATGCAGATATTGGCTTTTTATTAACCTATCCATAAACAACAGCTCCACAAAAAAGGTGAAAATATAAAAAAAATCTTAAGTGTTTATGTTGAATAGTTGTGTCCCCATTTTTATATATACTCTTCTTTTTTACATATTTCAGAGCATTGCAGACGGTATTCATTAACGTCTCATTTCACAGCATGTATTTCTGAGCCATCACTTTTTAGCTAATGATTGTCACAGGTCGGGGGATATTTGCATATTTGCGTTTCAGTTCCTTTTTTCCCCCAGCAGTATTTAAAATCGACTCAGTGCAGTAAAGTTACAGTAAGCCTTACAAGAGCCGGCAGCATATTCTTAATTAAATGTAATTATCAGTGATCAGACAGGTAAAGTAATGCAAAACAAACAGGAATCCAATCCAACTGCATGTGCTTTCTAACAGAGTATATGGACCTATTTTTAATTGAAATTTCAACTTAATAGAAAAATTGGAAATTGCTATTAAGCAGTTAAAGGGACAAAAGGCTATGAAATAATAAAAGCAAAAAAAAAAGTGACTATATGGCAAATTCTAAAGTAAATTCTCATTTCTATAGAAACTAGAATGAGATTGGGGCAGATGTTCAATTCAATTCAGTTTATTTATATAGCGCCAAATTCACAACACATGTCATCTCAAGGCACTTTACAGTTCAACCAGATCATACAGTCAAATTGATACAAAGTTTTCTATCTAAGGAAAACCAGTTGATTGCAATGACTCATTGACTCAAATACAATCCCCCACACTAAGCATGCTTGTAGCGACAGTGGAGAGGAAAAACTCCCTTTTAACAGGAAGAAACCTCCAGCAGAACCAGGCTCAGTGTGAGCGGCCATCTGCCGAGGCCGACTGGGGTTCAAGGAGACAGAAGCAGAGATACAAAAAGCAGCTGTAAAAGGCGGCCCCGTCCAGGAAACACGCAGCCAGGCAGACGAGCTCCAAGGCAGCTCCCATGCCAGAGGACGAAGAGAGCACATCCACTCAGTCACGGTCAGAGAAACAGGACCACACTGGAAAACAGGCCGATCTCCAACATCTATAAACAAGGGTGTTGATAGAAGCAGCACAGCTGATGTTTCTTTCCAGGATGACGTCACAGCCAAACAGGAACAGACGAGGCAAAGCTACTCTGAGGAAAAGCAGAGAGAGCAGAAGGTTAGAGATTGAACTAACAGATTCTGCAGAATAGGAGAACAGAGAGAGAATGAAGCAGAATGATGAAATGGGGGTCCCTATGTCCTCCAAAAGTCTAAGCCTATAGCAGCATAACTATAGAGATAGCTCAGGATAACCTGAGCCACTCTAACTATAAGCTTTATCAAAAAGGAAAGTTTTAAGCCTAGCCTTAAAAGTAGACAGGGTGTCTGCCTCACGGACTAAAACTGGTAGTTGGTTCCACAGGAGAGGAGCCTGATAACTAAAAGATCTGCCTCCCATTCTACTTTTAGAAATTCTAGGAACCATTAGTAAACCTGCAGATTGAGAGCGAAGTGCTCTGTTAGGAACATAAGGAACAATCAGATCTCTGATATAAGATGGAGCTTGGCCATTTAAGGCTTTATATGTGAGGAGGATTTTAAATTCTATTCTTGATTTAACAGGAAGCCAATGAAGAGAAGCCAGGATAGGCGAGATATGATCTCTCTTTTTAATTTTCATTAGAACTCTGGCTGCAGCATTTTGGATCAGCTGAAGGCTTTTAACTACAGTTTGTGGACTTCCTGATAGTAAAGAATTACAATAGTCCAGCCTTGAAGTAACAAATGCATGGACTAGTTTCTCAGCATCACCCCTGGACAGGATATTTCTAATTTTTGCAATGTTCCTCAGATGAAAGAAGGAAATTCTAGAAACCTCTTTGATGTGGAATTTAAATGACAGGTCCTGATCAAAAATAACACCAAGATTTTTTACTTTATTATCTGAAATCAGTTTAATCCCATCCAAATGAAGTGACTGGCTAATCAGTTTCTTTTTCAGAGACTCTGGTCCAAAGACTATAACTTCTGTTTTGTCTGCATTCAGGAGCAGAAAGTTAAGAGTCATCCAGGTTTTTATGTCTTCAAGACATGCCTGTAATCTATGTAATGGGTTAGCTTCATCTGGATTTATAGACAGATATAGCTGGGTATCATCAGCGTAACAGTGGAAATTAATCCCATGCTGTCTAATAATTCTACCAATTGGGAGCATGTATAAAGTAAAGAGAATTGGTCCTAGCACTGATCCCTGTGGTACTCCACAGGTAACCTTTGAGCGTGTTGAAGATCTATCATTAACATGAACAAACTGAATTCGATCAGATAGATAAGATTTAAACCAGTCTAGTGCTGTTCCTTTAATTCCAACAAAATATTCAAGTCTTTCTAAAAGAATATTATGGTCAACTGTATCAAATGCAGCACTAAGATCCAACAGGACGAGTACAGATACAAGTCCATTATCTGAGGCCATGAGAATATCATTAGTGACTTTCACCAGAGCTGTTTCAGTGCTATGATGAGCTCTAAAGCCAGACTGAAACTCTTCAAAAAGTTCATTATGGTGGAAGTGATCGCAAACTTGTTTGGCAACTACTTTCTCAAGAATTTTGGATAAGAAAGGAAGATTGGATATAGGTCTATAATTGACCAAGTCATCTGGGTCAAGAGACGGTTTCTTAAGCAGAGGTTTAATTACAGCAACCTTAAAAGCTTTAGGTACATATCCCTGTAACAGAGATAGATTAATCACATCTAAAATGGAGGAGGAGATCAAAGGGAATACCTCCTTAAATAACCTGGTTGGAACTGGATCTAACATACAAGTTGAAGGCTTAGATGAAGACAATCATTTTGCTAATTCAGAGAGTTCAACTGGATCAAAGCAGTCTAAACCCGGTTCAGATTCCATGACTACCTCAGGTACAATAGCGGATAGAGGAGTGCTTATGATCTTATTTTTAATAAGATCAATCTTATTTATAAAGAATCCCATAAAATCATTGCTGCTAAGAGCAGGTGGAATGGACGGTTCAACAGAGCTATGGCTCTGGGTGAGTTTGGCAACTGTATTAAAAAGAAATCAAGGATTATTCTTATTCTCCTCTATTAATGAGGAGAAGTATGCTGCTCTTGCTTTACAAAGAGTCCTCTTATACAGCAGTAAACCATTTTTCCAGACTAGGAAGGACTCTCGCAGGCCTGTGGAGCGATATTTTCTCTCCAGTTTCCTAGCATTTTGCTTCAAAGTACGCAGCTCTGCATTAAACCAAGGAGCAAGCTTTCTATTTTTAACGGTTTTCATTTTCAAAGGAGCTGCGTTGTCTAAGGCAATACGCAGAGAACTAGCAACCCCATTTACAAAATCATCAACCTGTGAAGGGGAATAAGCTAAGCTTTTGCACTCTGCAGCACTGCTCAGTGACACAGAGGAGAGAGAAAGTGAAGCAGATTCTTAAAAATTTATAACTGCACTATCTGATAAAGATCTACTAAAATTTAACCTTCTTTTGGGGGAGGAGAACTCTGTTAAAGTAATCCTGAAGGTTATTGGAAAGTGGTCAGAGAGGACAGGGTTGTGAGGAAATACTGTTATTTCTTCACATTCTATGCCGTATGTTAGCACAAGATCCAAAGTATGAAGATAAGAATGCGTGGGACTATTCACATTTTGAACAAAGCCAATAGTGTCTAAGATAGCATTAAAGGCTGCTCTTAAGCTATCGCCTTCAATGTCAGCATGGATGTTAAAATCTCCCACTATGATGACCCTGTCAGTATTTAATACCAAATCAGAAAGGAACTCTGAAAACTCATCTAAAAATTCAGAGTAAGGACCTGGTGGACGATACAAAGTTACAAAAAGAAGAGGTTTTCTTGCCTTGAAATTTGGATCAGGGAAATTAAGGGTTAAATGTTCAAAAGAGTTGTAGGTATTAATTGTTTTGGGAGTAATCAGTAAGTCAGACTGGAAGATTGTTGCTACTCCTCCTCCTCGCCCAGAACTTCTGGGGATGTGAAAATTTAAATAGCTTGAAGGAGTTGCCTCATTTATGCTCACATAATCCTCTTGCTGCAGCCAGGTTTCTGTAAGGCAAAACAAGTCAATGTGATTATCACAAATCAAGTCATTAACTAGTAGACTTTTAGAGGAAAGCGATCTTATGTTCAGCTTCCTGCCCTAGACCAACAGCTATAACAGGATGATTTAGATTCAATTATAGGTTAGAATGATCCAAAGTCAAAATCCATCACAGGGTTTGAGCTAGAGCTGATCTTTACATATGCTCTGAATTAAAGGTAAAGTGGAGGATTTTCATGAATTTTTGAAAAGACCCGCTGTCTCCCCTTAAAAAAAAAATGCACATGCACGACCTTGTACCACGCGTGCAAAAGCATGCATGAGCCCATTTCTCCTCATGCACGCTCTGTTTAAATTGGTAATTTTGTGCAAAGGAATGGCTAAAATATCGGCCTGTATATGTGAAAAACTGAGATACATTATCTGAAATACTAGTAGCTCTAATAGCAGTGAAATATGGATCTACAAAGTACAAATGTGTGACACCATTCAGATTGTGTGAAAAAATAAAAATTTTAATTGGCAAAAGCACTTCACTAACGCACTGCAGGAGATATTGAGAGTAGGAGTATGTTTACTTAGAAAAAGATCCAACAATTTTATTCCTAATTGTTCCACTTAAGCTCTTCAGAGATCATGAAAGTTTGCCAACACCCATAGTTTCACTTCATGTCTAAAGCCTGTTGTTCTGCTCCCAGAACGTTTTTAACCCATCTAGTGATGCAAATGAGTTCATTAGTGCAGCTAATTAATGCATTAATTAGCAAACATGTCTGTATCAACATGTCACA